ACACACACACCATCATTATTTGCCTTCCATTTGTATATTTTAGATGACTGTTATTCAATCTATGTAAATTGTGAGTGCCGGGAAAAACCTTTTAACTGTCAGGAGCGAATGGGGAATGTATTGTTTGATTCCTGAATCATTTGAGCAAAAACAAATAGGAACTGTCATATTTTGATAATTTTTATCACAACTAGTGATTATCTGTCTCCTGAAACGGGTTGCTCTCCACTGCACCATTCATCCTGCTGCATGTGTGAGCAATATCCTGGCAGAAGTGGGAGGCGGAGGAGCAGCAATGGTATGGTTATTCAGCTGCACTGACTTTTATTTGTTTACAGAAGCAGGTAACCACACATTTTCATTATGGAGGACGATTTTTCATTAGGTTCAATATTGTCTTTCATATCCATCTTATTATTTTCCACTGCATCCATCCATCTTGTCGTACGAGGGTTTGAGATAGGATTAGGCACTTTTTGCCCTCTCTATGTTAGCTGTGACATATTGTGACTGTAACTGTTAGAGTAAGCTAAGGTGGCGGCAGTAGCTCAGTTGCGAAGTGAGGGACCTAGGCTGTGTGGGAACGCGAGGGGCGGGTTCAGAGTCCCGACAGACACAGAAGATATGGAGGTGAGTGGTGGCTGGCATGAGCGTCTTTTTTCGACGCTGCCTGTGCCGCAGACTGCAGAGTAAGTTACTTTTTGGATAAACTTGATATTTGTGTTGATGTCTTTATTAAGTTTTCTTTCTTTTTTTACTTTTTATTACATGTTTTCTTTACAGTTAGTTGTGAAATACCGTCCATTCATACCTATTTTCTTTATGACTTTACAGACTATAGACTTTACAGACTATAGACTTTACTCTTGTTTTTAATCATAAAGCCACTGTAATAAAGACTTCCGTACATTGACAAAGCAGTGTGTCATGACTTTTTCTGGAATTAATTCTCCTTTCTAGTGGACACTGGTTAACCCACCCGTGCATCAGAAGCACCTGTGCTGCATTATATTGGTGTCAGATCCAAGAAAAGCTTGCTATATTATTTGAAATGAAGAAAGAAATTAAGTAAAATATGCTGACAGTAGGTGTGGCATTGGCAATCCGTCCAAATGCCTAATGCCACAATATTACTTCAATAAAAACCCCTATTTCAGTCCCGCCAGGATTTCACTTAAAAATTAAAGGCAACTTCTTCCAGTGAGAATAAAACCATACTGCTGATGTTTTGAGTAACCTTACCAAAGGCAAGCCTCTATCACTTTATGATTTATACATTACCACAAAACCAGGCATATTTAATGTAACTCACCTTAATTCTTTTATCACTTGCAATAGATTTGCAGCCTGTTGCACCCTCTGTGTGTAAGCTCAACCATAGCCTGGTTATAATGTAAATTATTACTAAGTTGTGATGTATTACTAAAATAAAAGTGGTTGAACCACAACGATAAGTTGAGACAACCTAATATCTACACATGCCCCTAAGGTAGTATAAATCATAAAATTTCACAGAATTATACTCACTGATGTTGTTTCTCTGCCACACTACTTGTTTTCATTAATGCAGCCATTTTGTAACATTAATTGAGTAGAGAACTAATTTACTGATATGATATTTCGTTATCGATCTAGCTTACTACGATGTGCTACGAAGACAAGTGGCTCATGCCAGTCAGAAAGCTAAGGTGTACGGTAACCAAGGTGATGGAACAATATCTTAGATTGTTGCTGCAACCAACCAAACTAAGCTGGTAGCTGGTGCAACCACGTCCTGGATGCAACTGCCTCAGGCATTGTGATTTGTTTTTTCTGTTCACCACACATTTCAGCCACTCTCCGGGTGTGTTTTGTAGATCGATCAATCAATCGATGACTTCATGTTGGACACAGTGCAAAACAGTTTGCCCCCGCTTTCTTGCAGAACATCAGGGAATTGCCTTGAACGGCCTCTGGCAGTACTTAATGTTGGTAAATGTGAGCCATTCTCATTGCACATATCTGCATCTTCACAACCAAAACAAGGACGTGAGTGGTGACATAGGGCTCAGTGTTTTGTAAGGGGGAGTGCTGCGATTGGTGAAACTTGCAAAATTGCAGAAAAGTTGATTGTACAAAATTGCCTGGTTGCGCAGAATTCATCGGGATTAGTTGAACTTGCATTAATTGTTGTGATCACAACTTCCTGGAGGGAGCGCCATAGAAGTTTAATTCTGCGTTTATGTAAAATAAAAAAAACTGCAATGGACAGCGTACCAAGATGACATAAAGCTTATTTGGAGGTGCTCTGTATTCTGCTGTTATTGTAAGCAATTAAGAAGATTGATGCTTTCTCTCAACA